AAATGTATTCATCCAGTGACTTTTCATTCGATTGATTGATTGTATGTTGTTTTCAATCAATCAATGGAATGAAAAGTCACTGGATGAATACATTTTCCCAAAATGCACTTTTCATTCGATACACAGGTCCTTTTAGCGCTCCGTACTTCAATTGGAAGTATGCATTTGTGCACTTGTAACAAACAGTTTATTTTTCTAAAGATATGATGAAATGTGTTTTTCAAATAACGGTCTATAAAATTAATTACAATTTTAAGTGAAAAAAATCTTTTATATCTTCCAAGAGTCAATGAACGTAGCACTGAATAAGATGTATATTTAGGAACAAAGGCAAATTCTGTATTTATGAGACACAGGCAGTAAGTGCAAGCTATATGCAAGTAAATCAAAAATCTGAACACATCTTAATCATAAAAAAAGTTTTCTCCCAGAATTTTAATTACCCATTTGAAAATGATCTGACCATCATAGCTCGCAGACAACAGACACGGTGTCGCATAGGTGCGCTCAAAGCGTGAAAGTGAATAGATTTGAGTCACGTGTTCAGTGCTTTGTTATTCATGACGTCAAAGACGGGTTGAAATTTGTAAACAAGGTGCCTTTACTATAGAGAGAAGCTACCCGTGATTTTGCACCTTTTTGGAAAATAACATATGAGCGCAAGACTGTTTCAATTTCTTTCATGAATGTAATTGACATATATAACTCTTTACAATGACCGTATTTACGACAACTTGAAACATCCATGCGCTCATATAAAAAATGGGCTTGCAAAATGGGGGTGTGGCCTAAAGTCTACGTGAAATCGATGTAAACAACGTACCTCTGCTATATTAATCACATAAATACCTAATTACAGTGCAAGGATGTAAAAATTGAAATTGAATTTAATAAACTACAATGTTTGATGGAAAGATTGAGGCAAAGATATGTAGAAAATCTTGAATTTTAATTTTTTGTAAATTATCGGGGGCCAGATTTGGACGTTTAAACGATTCATTCTTTATAAATAAATGAAGCGACATTAAGATTTGCAGTGGAATACGTTTTTCAACATTACATTATGTTCATATCAAAACTTTAACTGCTTATATATCGGTGAATATTTACAAAACCGTGTGTGTATGTTAAGTCTTAGAGTTGAAATCGACCTTTAAATTTATAGTTAAGATATTACAACGGTAAACTTGTAAGCGACATAAAAAATTCTTAATTGGTCATGTTTTTGTAGAATGACTGACTATATTTCAAGTTAAAGCATAATAGTTTACGTGCCCTTCCTATATTCCTACACTTCCCTCTCGTATATGATCATATTAGATCCTCGATGGTTAATTTTTTAAAATAATCTTTGTTTTCTTGGTCAATTTGTTTGATTATGTTTTTTAAATAGATAAACATGTAGCAGTTGATTTGCAGTGGTCTCTTAAAGGAACAATAAACTTCCTTTATCGTTTGTTATTGTTTTTACCATGGTTTTTTGATAGCAGAGTACTATAACTTATTCTGATTAGAAATTTTAAAAAATGTCTCAATATTTGATGAGTACCTTTACTAATATGTTTTATAACAATTTTGAATTCACATTTTACTTACTAAATATAATTGGTCGATTGTCTGTCTAAGCAACATATTTTAAAAAGTGGTGTTCATTAATCAATGTAAAACATAACATGATCAAATCAAGTAATTTCCAGTACAAAATTTCACACTTTGAAAGAGCGTTTCAGTGAGTTCAAGGAATACAAACATTTCATTCATTCATAACAAGAAATCATTTTTTCAGGAAATTTATTTTAATCTTAGCATTCATTTCCACATTTCCATATATCAACGATGCTTTATCAATTAATAATTATAGTTACATGTATTTTCATTCAAATGCCAACTCGATATATTCCAGTGAACTCGCTAGACAGGACACCACAGAGACTGCTACATCTGCTTCATACTTGGCTATTTTACTGACTATAGACTATACACTGACTTTTACCGACTGTAGACGTTAATGGCCAGCTAGCAACTAAACTATATGACAAACGTGGTGACTTCAGCTTCAGCAGACTTAAGCAGACCTATTTATGTAGTATTATTTCACAATCACCTGCATATGGCATTTTTGTCTCCCAACTGATTCGATTCTCAAAACCATCTTCTGAGTACGATCAATTTATAAACAGAAGCAGGCTGCTGACAAATAAGTTGATAAGACATTGTTTTCAACTACATGTATCTCGGTTAAAGTCAGCATTCAGTTTCCCACCATTATGACTATTGTCGGACTAAAGTCGCATTTTCCCTACATTTTTATTACTTCGTTTACCTGATCAATACATAGGGCCAAGGGGGGTGTGGCCGGTCGACAAGGGGCTGCTTTCACCTCCTAGGCATGAAACATATGGAGATAACGAACAGTAATCAAGTCCATTCAAACAATACAATTCAGGAGCAGAGCAAACGAGGACCTCTAAGACATCAGAGTTGGGATCAGGTGCCATGGAGGAATGAGCATCCCCTGCCGACCGGTCACACCGAGAAATAACGGAAAAATCCGTCGACAATTAAGTGGGTAAATAATGGCCTAACAATTAGTATGAAAAACGTCAGTCAGCATTTGACTTAATGATAGATTGTATTTGCTGACAAGGTCATTGTATCGACCATAGTTTTTACGAAATGATGACTTTGAATGAGGCCGTTCATATTCTTGTTTCATCAAGGCATCTGAGTCTATCTCTGGTGTTTCCAGGGATCTGTGTTTTTGCTCTGTTCACTATTCGTTTCTGGGATTGATCAATCACTTTTTACATTTGCCCCCCCCCCCTTCAAAAAAAAAAAAAAAAAAAAAAAAAAAAAAAAAAAACCGAACTTTTAATCAATCAATGCTGAAAAGCTTTCAAGTGGCTAAGACACAGAACATAAATCATTGAAATAAATTGAAAGAACAAAAATTAGACTGTTTACTCAAAAAGATCCTAGTTTAAGTACTCAAAGATATTCCGAAACATAAAAACAAGATTTCCAGGGAAATGAAGTATATGGCCTCTAAACTCGAATCTTTTTATTTCTGTAATTATTTAGTTAACGGATTCTAAAAATTAAACAAATGCTGCAAGATCTTTTTAACCGAAATAGAATTTTTTTTTCGAAATACTGCTCAGACCTTCACTTGTCCAGCGATATCCGCACGCGCTCTGGTTTGGTTTATGCAAACAAATGTACGTGAACTGTGATTCTTTTTCTCCTGTATTTGGTTTTAAGTAATATCAAGAGTTGACCATTCAACACTTCTTTGAATAGGAAAAAAGACTGCTTTCTTTGTTCATGATAGTAGAAGAGTATACAGATATTTATTGTCTGTGAATCAGGCCGTTGGCCTTGGGCAATAGAACACATTGAGCTGTTCCTAGCACTGAGGGAAAAATATCCTGGTCTACTGACTGATCAGACATGAAATATTAAACTGTATATTAATTCTTCACTTAGGGCAGCTACATTAGTTAAGAAGTTCATTGTTATTGATAAGGACGGCGTAGGACGCATTGTGATTTTACTGTGTAAATAGTTTGAGAGATTGCAGTTAATGAGCCTGTTTATGAAATCCTAGAGAATTGTACGGTTTGACCGTTAATTATGTATAAATTAGGTCAACGATCAATGAAAATGAATCAATTAAACTGAAAATTGGGTGAAATATCTGGCATTAAAAGCTGGAAGTCTAATCAGGGGTAGTTCACACAATTAAAGTGCAAGAGTGAAATAATTTAATTAAAAACAGAACTAATGATAAAAAAGGGGCCGTATTTCTAAATTAAATAAGTCGGTGTAGTTAAAGCTGAACATAAGTGGACTACACGTATTTCAATACTTCATTAAGAGTTGTGCTGTTTTATTTCCCATTTTTTAACTAAAGTAAATCTCGATTACCTCCCTTTCGGCGTTTTGAGTTTTTCGAAAGTAATATAATTTTTTAAAAAAACTTTGAGTTGGAAAAGTTTGGACACAACAATTTCTTTTGTGATAGATTATTTTTATTCTTTTATTACCATAAAATTCATCATTAAATCTAGTGACCTACATGTATGTGATTGTTGACATTCGGATCGGGATAGAAGCATGTTTATTTATCTAACAACAATACATCTATAAAAGAAAAGAACCGTTTCTGAGTTCATTTTTTTTTCTTCAAAATTAGAATTTCAAATGTCGAGTGAAGAGGTCGTGTGAGACTTTTTATACTACTTACATGTATTTAATAACTGTGTTGACAAAGGGTAAATCTAGATATTGAAAATTAATAGATTTCCTAGATAAACTATATGGGAAAAAAATTTTAAAAGCAAGAACAATAATATTTAATATCAAAGTACGTATAGAACTGGCATTTACGAAAGTGTTTTACATTTAAGATTTTTGAGTGCTGAGAAGATTTTAAAAAAAAAAGACACTCATTGCTTTCGAACGAGAAGTATATATTTATTATCAATATTTTGGATTGCAAACAAAGACACGCATAAAATCGGTCAGTTTCTGTATTGTATCATACTAATTCCTCTGCATACTTTTAAAATATACTACTTCTGGGTCGTGTACTAGAGGAATGATTTTCAGGCTGTACAATAATACTCGTGAATCAATTCTATTTTTAAATAATTCATTTAACGTTTTAATAAACAAAATTAATTGGCAATGTGAATGAATGTTAGAAGTGATAGAAATTAGACTAAAAGGATACACACAGAATTAGATTTCATCTCTTTTAAATAACTAAGCCCATACATTGTAAGCTGTTTAAAGTATTTGTATAAGGGTTAATACTTAAAGGACATTAATATTGTAAATAGTATTACCAATAATTGCTACCGCCATTACCAGAGCTTATTCACGGCTCCAACACTTGAATAGAATTGAAAGAACAAAGAAAAATGGGTTCATCTGATTAAATTATCGACTGATTAAGTCGGTACAGAAGTTTTGGTCAAAATCAAGAGTGATGTGCAATGGAGAGCATTCGTTTCAACACCAGATTACTTTTGTGTTTATGCATTCTTTATTCCACATATTCTTACAATGTTACCGACGAGGACCTACTTTTCAAAGATCTGTTTACAAACTACAATAAAGAACTTCGTGCTGGAAATGATAGGGACTATCCGTTGAACGTGTCTATGTCTTTCTATCTTTTTGCAATAAAGGAATTCGATGAAGCTACCAGCAAATTCACAGTTAATGGTGTGTTTGTGACAACATGGCGCGATGAGAGATTATCCTGGGACCCTACTAACTATAACAACATAACAAGAACGCTTATGTCTCAGGACAAGATATGGCTACCGAATTTAGTGAGCACAAATCCTTTCGAAGACATATATGGTTTGGGAAGTAGTCTTGTTAAAATATATCTGTATTATGATGGATCTTGTGTATGGACAACCATGCAGTCTTTTGAAGTCATCTGTGACGCAGACGTGACAAATTATCCTTTTGATAAGCAGTACTGCTCACTCAATTTTGTTTCCTACGGTTACGGAGAAGAATGGATGAAGGTTACCTTTACAAGTTCTAAGATTCTTCTAACACAATATCAAGAAAGTGGATTATGGGATATTGAAGACACGGCAACGTTTTCTCGAATAGCCAATGGCTTAACAGAAGTTGTGGTAGGACTGAATTTAAAACGAAGGTCGGCTTACTATATAGCGGGCCTTGTTCTACCTATGACCATTGTGGCAATATTGCAATCATTTGTTTTTCTGCTCCCAAATGATTCAGGTGAGAGAGTGGGTTTTTCTGTGACAGTACTTCTGGCCAGCGTTGTTTTCCTGACAATTATTCAAGAAAAACTTCCCGAGTCCTCTGAACCAAACATATCTATACTTGGGTTCCTCCTGTTTGGTTATGTCTCTTTAGGAGTTCTCGTTACGTTGTGTGTAATTCTCAGTTCCAACATGCACATGTATGAAGAATCGAAACCCGTACCAGCTTGGCTGAGAGTTCTCTTTTGCTTAAAAAGAAACAAAGTTGATGAAGATTTTTCAACCGGAAGTACAATACGGGTCGCATCTAAAGAAGAGTCAAGGGATGAAGAGTCAATATCAAGCTCGTGGAAAGATGTAGCAAAAGCTTTTGATAGATACTGCTTCATCTCTTCCTTGTCTCTTTATGCACTTCAGTTTGTTATCTACTTTGCAATAGTTTTATAACTTACACATACTAAAAAGCAACATCATTTTCATGCTGAATGTTGCTCTTTTTTTTCATTTTATGCATGGTGGACACATTATACACACATATATGTAGATAAAAACTAGTTTATTTAGAGTGGGAATTTTCTTTTCAAAGAGGTTTCTCTCACCCGACAGGTGCGATTTACCTGTAACAAAGGTACTTTTGAACTCCGTGATTGATGGTTTACCGCATGGTATATACGGTTTTTATTGATGGTTTACCGCATGGTATATATGTTTTTTATTGATGGTTTACCGCATGGTATATATGGTTTTTATGTAAAATAAGAGTTTGGTGGGCAAAGCTTTTCCACTTTGGCTTTAATAAAATTATATAGAAAATAAAGCATTTTCATGGAATTCAATTCGAAATCATGTCAAAAGTAATCCCGATACCTATATTCAATTTAATATCATTTTAAAGAAGGTCGCCCGCGTGGCGCAGTGGTTAGGGCGTCTGCTCTAGAGTCGCGAAGTAAGGAGCTGATCCTTACGTCGCGGGTTCGAATCATCTGCGGGACGTGGAGACAGGCCCCTCGGATCAGACCGTATAAACCGAGGTCCCTTGTCGCAGTAGGTGTTGGCACGAAAAAGATCCCTCACTGCTCAATGGCCCTCAGTGCCGAGTATACATGTAGGCACATGTATAAATTTACAACCCTCCACTGGCAAGTGGTGGCATCTTCATATATGAGTGAAAAATTCTCGAGGGGGGTCGTTAAACAACAAACAAACATATATCTTATTTGTACATCTTAAAGTGGTGCTAGGTCTTAATGTCTGGGATAAATCAACGCCGCATACAACTGCACTCTTAAGCCTTTTTATTTATTCATTTTCTTTATACACAGTAGAAGAGATAATTACTTACATTAAACAAATATACTAAAATGAAACCTGAAAATCCAGCTTTGATTTATCTTTAACAAAAATACGAAATACAAAATTGTATCAATATTCAGCATGGGAAATGATTTAAGCTACATTCACATCCAGTCATTTTAATTCTACTTCTTTTTATCAGTAGGGACTCGTTCCACTCACAATGTTATTCCAGACTTTAGCCACGAAAAGAATAAATAAAATCCTGAATGCTTTTAACTGAAGACAAAAGCGTTGTTTAAAGGGATGGAAACAAAATTAAATTAAGATAAAAGATTTTTTCTCTAGCAGAAACAGTCTGTTTATTCAAGTAGAGCTTTCAGCAACTTAAAGATTTTTTTTTTTATATTTCAAGGTTCAATCAATATCATGGCCTCGTGAATAAGATGGACTAGAGCACTTATTTTTCCTGTTGTATTAAAATCCAAAAAGATTGTCATATTTTTTTTTCTATAAACACTTAATTTTTCTACTAAAAATATTATCGTCTATCCAAATTAAACACTGACATCGATAACTAAAAAGAGAAACTATATATTTTTTTCTTTAAGGAAATACATAGGTAATACCTTTTTAAAAACTCTGTTTTGAACTATTTGTTCAAAATATTTTCTTATCTTGAGTGTTGTTTACATTACCTCACGTATTCTTGCATATAAGCATATACTGGTACTTGTATGTGGCGCAGAGGACATTGGTCGCACATTATTGTTTATGGAATTAAATTACATTAAAAATATTAAGCATGATCTTCTGCAGCAAGGTTGTCAAAGAACTTCTCCGAAAAATAATTGGAGTATTAGTACTGATAACTGCCTTTTTATAATCCGTTGTTGTTTGTTTGAGTGTAAACAGAAAAAAATGCATGAGACTGAAACATAACCAACGCATGCATTTTTTTTTTTCGAGTGTAAGGTATTTGAACCATTCAAATGCTCTCGTTTGTGTGTCAATCACTTCCTATTAAAATACAATGTATCAATTCGATAAATAAATACATATTCATGTTATGAGGGGGCCGTTTTGATTTTTATTGCCACAAAAACTGCCATTAAATGATATATCTTAATTCACATTTGAATTGGTATTATCACCTCTTAATAGGTAATATCACCTATTTGATTTGGATTGTAATAAATAAGTGACTTGAATCTCATTTATTCGAATAAGTGATTCACCTATTCAGATCAAATAGGTGATATTACCAATTTGAATAAGTGATATCACCTATAGCTTTACGAGTATATATGGGTGATATCACCTATTTATTTTGAATAGGTGATATCATTTATTCACCTATTCACTACATGTATGTATGAAATAACAACTGCTCCCAAGACTATACTATGTACTGCATATGCATGTATTTACTCTATACGGTAAGTAAACATTTTCTCAGTTTCAGGAATCGATACCATGTGGTGTTTTAAATTGACTCAGACTATAACATGCATTTGCCTGTAGAGACTTCATCTCAGTCCATTTCAAGCCGTGTACTGAATGCCGTGCGGTTTAGCGGACGTAGGGGTAAACATGATCGATTTAGGCTTTTCTTCCTCCTCCTCGTCCTCCATGTCAGCAAAGTCTGCCTTGTTTCTGATGCAACAATTCCACACCACACAGATTAGGGCCATTATTACACCAAACGTACAGAGTCCCACAGCGATCCCGATAATACCGAACCGAGCAGGAGGCACCGACTCATCAAAGGTCTGCAATAAGGAAATTATTTATCTTAACATTTCATACTTTATACAGTATCAGAATGATCTGAAGAGAGTAACACAGACTTCGGACTCGAGTATGTAACCGTACAATTTACATATAAAGGACCTTTAAATCAGGGAAGTGGAGTTATGCGGTGTCGAAAGCTCAGCACTATCGTAAATTTCAAATTAATTGTTCGTGTTCTGTAGGTTACCCTCAATAATACATGACTAAATTTAATGACAGGTTCAAAATATATTTAAAGGGACCTAAACAGAATACTTTAAACATACTTCTTCCTCTGTTGTTATTAGACATGGTGAATGAGGTCACAATATCGGCCAATATAAATTAAGTCCCTATTTGCGAAATAAACTTCATTTATCAGTAATATTCGTACCTTTCCATTTTTTCCTATAGCCTTTCCGTCTTGACTGTACTCGACGAACCACCATGGTTTGGTGGTGGTGGGTGATTCTGTGGTCGAGGTGGTCGGGGGAGGAGTGGTGGTGGTGGTAGTTATTGTGGTGGTAGTCGTAGTGGTGGTAGTTGTTGTGGTCGTGGTTGTGGTGCTTTGTATTGTAAACTGATCTAAAAAAAATTACTTAAGGAATAAAAGTCATTTTTTATGATGTTGAGACGATGACTTACTACTTGCATTTTTACCTCATAGTAATCCTACCTAAGGATCAAACTAAATACATATAAAGGTAGGCAAACATTACCATATTTAAACATTTAGAAGTTTAATTCATTTCCTATGACCTCTAGTGCAAGTTTCCTCCTATTCTTAATAGCAACGCAACGAATAATCAAAGTACTGAAAGTAATAAAATGCCATAAGCATACATGGCTGTCTCGAATACCAGAATATCATCGTTTTCATTCAGATGTCACAAAATTGAGACTGTTATCTTTCACCGCATAATAAGGAAGTGACTATCATTAAGAAAATCTTCCATACAAAGTTTTCTTTAATGAACTATATGTTTGCACTGCTGCTTTAAATGCCATTGCGACATATAATCAATGTGTTATATTGTATCGATACTTATCTGAGAACGACTTATTAAACATTTTAATAAGTGATTCAGAGATACATGTAGTTGCCGGCGATCAAAAAATCGTCGTCGGAAGATAGTAGCAACATCGATAGCCGCTACTTTGTTTAAAATCTTAATATTTTTCATTTTATGTAGTGTTTCTTTTGTTTTATTTTTCTACTTTTTTGGCAAAAAAGACATTTGATTATTTGTATGCATTTTCCATGTGCACACATATAGTAAATTTCTGTATATTGAACGATGCATTAGCCCTATAATGAGTGAGTAAATGATTTGCAAACATGCTTTGAAAATTGTAATTCCCTTCTATTTATGCAAGGCATATTTTCTTCAGGAAAAAAATCAAAAAGATTGAAAATTGAAAAAAAAAAACAAAAAAAAAAAAAAAAAACAGCTACTAAGAGCCAATCTCCTTTGCATTAACCTTCTGATAGAAGAGATTACTCTCACTGGGATGTATGACTATTTCTATATAAAACCGCCAAGTTAAGAGGCCATATCTGTAAATATTGCCGTACAAGGTATATTGTAATTGTTTGTGTTTTGATTAAAAATTTGATTTCTTTCAGAAAATCATTATTAAAAAAAACAAACACCTAAAATCCAGCCCCGGCTCCCTCTAGATCCGCCCATGCATTCAAAGACGAACCTTAAAAAACAACTAATCTGCCTCTTGCAAACATCGGGATTCGAACCTAGGATACAAACAGCATGTAGGATCATAAGCTATTTCGCTGTTGATTTAACGACTCGTAATTGCTCTTGGACTTTTTTGTAAGTATTACAAACTTATTTACATTATGAAAGTTAGTACCAGTATTTTACCTTTTATTAGTGCTTTACCTTGACAGAGGTAAGGGTATGATCTATAACATTCCTTGTCCGTCCATTTATATGGCGCATTGCTTGTGTATGTGTAACGCTTAAGTCGACCACACATACAACCACCTGGATCTTCGGAATTCCAGGGGAAGGTGTAGTAAGTGGAGCCATAGGACAGGGCTGATCCGTCCTCGTGGATGTATGTCGACCCCGAATTACATTTCAGCCCATACCACACCCGCTCATATGCTGAACCACTGACGATATGAAGAAAAGCTATAAAGCTATTATATGTACTAGCTTTTGAACATTTCTAAGAAATCACAAAATCAGAAATGTATGTATCAAAGTCTTGTTAAAGGAAATACTTACTAAGGTGTAATTGATTGATTAATTGACAAAATACATTTTCTTTTTTACTGGCTTAAAGCACTAACAAAAAAATATTACGATTAATTGAGGTGATTCAGGTATAGATGTATTTAAATGAACATACTCTTGAGCTCGTTTGATGTTCAGATACAAACTTGCAGCGTCGCTCTTTGCTTGAGTTGTAAGAGAGGCGAGTTTCATGCCGTTCCCCTCACAGGTTGATTTGGCGGTACTCCAGGTAATGCTGGCTGTTCCTAAATGGAAACCTGTTCATTGAAAAAAAAGATTATATAGCAGTTTCACAAATATTAACACTTAAAGATAGAAATCACATGTATTACGAGGGTTGTCCATAGAGTTCGTGGACGATGAAGGTTTGTCAAAATGAATGGTCCTAGATATACTTATTGTATGAATCTTCAAGTCAGACTAGTCGGCCATCATGGTGAGTAAAATCTGCTAATTCTTTTGCGTGAGGAAGATCAATCTTTTAAAAAGCTACCTGCAGTATGTAGCTTTGGGCTTTAGTAAAAATTGGTCGATAATTTTGATTTTTTCAAAGTTTCACCCACTTGAACTTAAATTCTGTGACCTGCAATGCCACGAGCGAATAAAAGCACCGTTAAAACAATATGCATTATTTCCCACATGGTTATTCTCACGTTTTCTCATGGAATTTTTTTTTTCACGGTTACGAAATGAACACAATTTTGTCTCATTTTAGGTCACCTGAGTCATAAAAAATCTTCTTCTTTATTTCTTTACAAGTTGCAGGAAATATTATTATATTTTTTTTTACAGTCAATTATCATTATAATAATATTAAACACTTAAGAGCCCTCTCTACACTAAAGAAAAAAAAACTTTTTGAACATTGAAAAAACATTAGTATGTAAATGTGTAAATATTGAGCTTATCTATCACATTTTCAACATAGGGTACCTTGCATTTACCCACAGGAAAAATTTTTCTCAGAGAATGAAGTACTGATGAACAGATATCACTGAAGTTTACTTAATTAGGCAAATACCTGCAAATGAAGTGTACAATCCAATTCTCTTGGCCTATTAACTTTAGAGTTGTTGTAAATGCTTGATTTGATCACAAATTAAGTTATATTTATTTAAATTTATTTATTCTAGATCAAAGGGCAGATTACTCTATCTGCATAAAAATACCATAAAATCAGAACTCTTTAGTGTGCAGTGTATAGAGAGTTCTTAAACCCTCTGTTTCCACCTACCTTCACACAGAAAGTCCTCCGAACCTGTACACGACACATCTTTCCATTTAAGTTCAGACCATTCCAGTTTTACACACGCTTTGCTGACGTCAGTAGAGGGTGTGCCAGTGTCCTTCCATGGATAAGTACCGGAAGGGGCGTAACTAACAGCGGTTCCGTCTATCCACTTAAAACTGACAGAGGTCGCCGCTGTGTCGCGCTCTAGTCCTATGTATACGTGTTTTGATTTACTGAAAAGAATCATTTACCAAAAAAGTCAGGTCCATACCCTTACTGTCTTTAATGTAGAAATTGGAAAGTTGAAGGGAGATTTTTAAAGAATCTAAAATTGTTCGAGGGTCATTCAATAAGTAATGCAACGTACAGTTAATCATAATAAATGTAGAAGTATTTAATTTTATTTTTTAACAGTTGAAAAGTTCTATTTAAGAACTCCTAATCACAGAAAACCCCATGCTTTTTCCTATTGTTGTCGCAAAGGAATTCACTTTTAAAGTAAGCATATGGTCACTACAGTGAGCTGAAAACTGTTTAAAAATGAAGAAGATGAAAATGAGGGCGTATATGAAAAATGTGCTTCATTACAGAAACAACTGAATAACCCATATTAAAGATATGATTTTGATATTTAGAAAGATTAGTCTTTCACGCTGCATAGTTTTCAGATGGATTTGGAAATTTAAAAGAAAAAAAGTACAATTAAAAGATTGCAGTTAAACTGGTCGATCGAAATCTGTAGGGGCACCAAAAAATATCGATGCTGTGAGCAATATGTTATCTGAAAATGCCAAATTTCCGTTGAAAGACTTTGCTAAAACACGAAACATTTCATCGTCATAACAGTTTATAGAGTTCTGACAAATGAAATAAATCTAACAATAATTCTATAAGATGGTTGCCTTATTTCTTTACAAATGCCCAAGAAGAAACACAAGTTAAATGTGCCAATGGTCTATTTAAAATAAACATTTTTACAAAAAAAGAAGATTTGATAAACTTGAGTGATGGATGACGAGACATTGGTGTACTTTTTATAGCCGAAGAGGAAGATCAAGAATAAAATGTGGAATCAAAGAGAAAGCTGTCGTCCTATTATTGCAAAGAGAAGCAAGGGTTCCAAATATGTTTTATTAATTTTCTTTTTATTCAAGAGGTCCAGTAAAACATTTATTTAACATTAACAGCCAAAGGAAGAACTATCAATGGTAACTTCAATCTAAAAATTTACTCAGGAAAGTTAAGCAGATTTTCTGCAAAGCAAGCCCAAATACTGGTCCCCGGAGTATTTTTTTCTGCACCTGAAAACGCTGCTGCAAATAAACATAGAGAAATAAATAAAATTTTGAAGAAAGGAAAGTTTACAGAGCTTGGGCATCCCCCATATTAGCTAGATATCAGCCATTGTGAGATTTTTTTCTTCCAAAAACATATGAAAGTAATCAAAGGAAGATTTTACAATTTCAGGTATATCACTGAAAGTGCTATTTATCAGTGTCTTTAGGGCATCCCTAAAGATGAGTATGCTGAGGCTTTCTGGTCATTGGAACAAAGACTTCAGACATGTGTAAATGTTAACAGGGAATGCTTTGAGGGATTAAAACTAATAAGAATCTGCTTTACATGCTTATCCTATTTTAGATGGCCTTTTGCATTATTTATTGAACGACCTTCGTTACTTTTATCATAGATATCTAAAACAAAATTCCCCTTTCTTTAAGAATGGTTTCAAAATATGACAAGTTTACAGAATAGACAGACAGACGGTCGATGTACATAACTCCTATCAGTAATTAAAGCTCAACAGAATCTTTGATTCGGGTAAGCTATTAGAAATATTTACCTTTGAGAAACATTGGATTTTTAAATAATACGATAAGATTTACTGAGACCAATTTGGGGCGCTTCAGTGCATACAAGTAAAGAATAATGCACATAAGAAGAAATTCAAAATTGATATCAGCAACATGTCGACATAAAAAAAAATAATAAAAGAAAATAAATAAATGAAAGAAAAGAAACTAACTAAAGAAGTTTATGATGATTAAAGGAGGATTTCCTGTAATAAATGCTTAAAATTTAATATTAAACATATATGATTGGCACACGTACAAAGAATTTGTTACAATGATATGTATGAAACGCCTCAGCTGCCTTATGTGGAGAACATTCATTATATGCTGATACTTTAACATGATATCCTGATACTTTAACATGATATGCTGATACTTTGTCATTATATGCTGATACTTTGTCATTATTTGCTGATACTTTGTCATTATTTGCTGATACTTTAACATTATATGCTGATACTTTGTCATTATATGCTGATACTTTGTCATTATATGCTGATACTTCAACATTATATACATAAACAGCATATGATGTTGAAGTATCATCATATAATGTTAAAGTATCAGCATAAAATGTTGAAATATCAGCATATAATGACAAAGTAGCAGCATATAATGTTAAAGTATCAGCATATAATGAATGTTCTCCACATAAGGCAGCTGAGGCGTTCCATATATATTTGTACTAGAGTATTAATATTATTGCTCTTTGGCATTTATTTAGTTCTTTTTAACATTGTATAATTCTCTATATTTTATTTTAAAAATATTGATTAAAAAATTACACAGCTTGATAAGCAACATATCATCCTCATTAGACATAATCCACAAAAAATGTCTATATTTGTTAAACTATAAACTTTTCTTATTATTTTTAGCAATATTCTCAAAAAATTCATGTCTATCATGTTTATATAATGGACATTCAATCAGTGAGTGAATCTCATCTTCCACACAATTCATGTCACACATTCTACAAATTCTTTCATTTCTTGCAGGGGTGATTTGCTGTCCTGTGTTTACATTTTCTTCATAAATAATATACATTACTCTTATTTCGCAATAAAATAAATTTTGATATCTATGGATTTGTTTCCAAAATATTTTTAAAAAATAAGAACCAATGAACAATTTTACAATACTTATTCATACCCCCACAAGTTCTCGTATTTGAGTAAAAAGGCCTTGGCCTGCTCGTATTCTGCGAGTGTTTCCAGGACGGCCAGCCTTAGTCCTAGTGCTTGGCATTGTGCTTTGGCCGCTGTCTGTGTAATGCTAGAGTCGTATCCATAGTAAAATCCGAAAACTGCTTAATAGGAAAAAAAATTGGCACATGTACAGCAAATAATTGCCATGCAGTCATTTTTTCTTTATTTCAAATTAAAATTAAAATTTAGTTTTCCAACTATTGTATTTCATTTATTTTGTATTATAAAGAAAATCATTTTTTTTAAGTATTTCTTTTTCTAAATTAATGTCAAAATTTAATTTTCCCCTATTTTAAATCTATTTTTTTATATACTCAATTAGATGGAAAAAATGACATGTTCTTCATTTTTGTTTTCTTTGAGAAAAAAGTTGGGAGAAACAACAAAAGAAATACTCTCGTAAAACATCTTTTTTCTATTAAGAGTTACTTAAAAGGAATAACTTTTCCATTATGTATTTAGCAGTCCGTTGATTTCTGCATTTTAAAACTATTATTTACAGATATGGAGTGTACGAATATAAAATCTCACCAGAGTTAGTCAGCATTACAGCAGCAATAAGGAGAACATGCTTCATGTCGACCGTGTAGAGTCCTCGATGGAAATTCGGTAAGTGAAAAAGTATAAATTTACAAAGGGGAGGGGGATCAGTTTTAAACCTTTTTTAAATTAGACCAAAGAATAATTGATTAATTTTAGTGAAATCTTTCTTAGCATCTAAATGTAACTTACTGCTGAAATCAATTTAAAAAACAAACACCTATTATTTTAGAAGTGTGGACAAAAATCGATGAAAATGAACAGGAAAGTTGAGCGAAAATACATGTAGATACGTTATTTCTATAAATTTCTTTTCTGGCATTGTTTAAAAACAAAACTCAAACAAATGTACAATGTCATTGTGTCTCTTTTCATATTTGGTCGACTTTGATGAATGAACTTTACCTTCCCTGTTTATTTGCCTCGCCTCCCCCTTCGAAGGTAAAATAGCAAAAGAAATTCGGCATGTTTTCTTTAAATGCTAATGTTTGCATAAAGACTAAAAAAAGTGGATGTTCTCGGAATTCGATTTTCCGCATTTCCATTTCTCTTGCCCCATGAACCATGTTCATGTATGTAAAATGTCTGAAAAATGTTTTAGGTCATGGTTACAATTTACAAACAAAGAATTAACTAGTAGCGGGATTAATTAGTTAGTAGCCGGAAAATTTTTCCATGTGGATGGACGAAAACTCGCTTATCGTTAAACCTTGAAATAAAGTGTAAATACTTAAGATTTCTTCTGATTTACCGTTGTAAATTAAACACACCTACAACATGGGACTGGCTGTTTCTAAGCAGGAGAACACGAGAACCTTCAGGTAAAGAATTACCGTAAATTCCATGCAGAAAGGATAATGCAATGTAACTCACTAAAGCCCCCTTATTTCAAAAGGGCGTGGTGGGGTGGGGGTGGGGGTACTGAATGTTATAACATTGTTTTTTAAGGCTAATGATGAAATTGCTGAATGACAGATAAGTATGGAACGCCTTAGCTGCCTTATGTGAAGAACATTCAATACTGTGGTTTCATCATTATTCGTGGAACACCAATTTTCGTGGATTTCGTTGTTGAGTCGATCCACGAAATCAAATGTTCATCGAAGTTTGGTACCTCCACTTTGATTTTAAGATAAACCTTTAAAAAACCTATTACGACTTTTGATAATATATGCCAATCCCCCCCCCCCCCCTTTCCCAACAAGTCGGCTTTATTTTATCATTTTTAAGAATATTTAAAAAAAAAAAAGAGGAAATACTATTAGATAATAATCTAGAATTTTTTTCGTCAATATGTATAAGTATTCTACATGGAGTAAAACAACACGTAGAACTGTCAACGCGGTGTATATACCAGTCAGTGGTATAACACAAAGTATGATAGTTAATCAGATGTAAATGTGTCAATTCGTTATTCTCAAACAATCTAAAGGTCCAACACCAATTATCACCTGTACAATGAAAACACAAATTATCGTTAAATAAAAATTCCGGTAGAAATTAATTAGTTACTCTCTGTTCCTGACTGCCTTAAATCATACAAATTATAAACACAGTTTAATGTTAATTTGACTTTTTTTAGAAACTTCTTTTTTTGTTAAACATGAGAAAACGGGTTGGTATGTTGCGGAAGTCCTGCAATTTCAAAGCCCTTCAAGGCTTGTTTGTCGTCCATTTTGTATGTAAGCGTCGAGTAGTATCCAGTGAACGTGGATGTGTTTGTTCGGAGATCTACAAACAAGGGGGTCTAGATGTCACTGTCAAGTCCAGAAACAACACACTGTACATGAGAAAATAAGTCTCTAACACTATTTTGTAAATTTAAGTACTTAATATTTTTTGTTACTTTATTAATACCCTGTTGCCACATTTAATTATCGTCCGTATATGTGCCTAAAAGATGAAAATCAAATTGTCTTCATATTTGAAGATACTTACACACTTTTAACCGACAGGTTGATTAAATTAAAGTCTATTTTAATAAATTTTATTTAATTTGCCAATCGAGATCAAAGTCTTACAATGGAGACGGTATTAGAATTCCTCATCCTTTATTGTTTTATACCATTATACTGCGTTTTCATCTGTTGGTAATTCCCGCTGAACCATATGGAGATTAAAATGAAAAGGTGGCAATTTTTTGTTGTTGTATGATCATTATCCACGAATTTCCGTATCCTCGAAACTGATATTTAGTAAATCCACCAAAATTGATGCCCACGAATATTAATGAAACCACAGTATATGCTGATACTTTAACATTATACGCTGATACTTTTACATTATATGCTGATACTTTGACATTATATGCTGATACTTTAACATTATATGCTGATACTTTGTCATTATATGCTGATATTTTAACATTATATGCTGATACTTTAACATTATATGCTGATACTTTGTCATTACATGCCGATACTTCAACATTATTGCCTGACGCCAAGAGCGTCAGGCAGTGTAAGGATCAATTTTTCCATGGTCCGAAACTAAGCGATCATACCTAGTGAGCTAGATTTTGTGCAAGCTGATTTACATCGGAATTTGTTACCTGCATTTTAACAAAAACAGTTTGCAGAAGAAAGAATCATATTACTGATGCAAAATAATGATGCGTTTACTTCCTTCATTTTTTTTTTTTTTTTTTTTTTTTTTGCATGAAACTGATTATTCTTTGCGATTCTTTATACGGACTTGTCCGTGTAACATTTTTTCTGCGTTTCTAAACTACAGTACTAGATCAGTCCATTTGTCTTCTACCAAAGGGGTGACACAATCATTTCGCGCCAAATGTCACAAGTAAATTATCTTCGCGCCTTTTTCTTGGATTATTCTATTGAATGGGTGTGATAACTTCTATGGAAATAAATAAAGTTTGCTCTTTAATCTTCAGATTTTTTTATCAACTACAAATTTTATCTCATTTTTTGAAATACATTGTATATGGGCATATGCATGCAGGCATCACTAAAGCAATGGATTTTCTAATTATTCTTACAATTTTGTTTCCCGGTTATCCCAAAAGTGGACTAGTTCAATCATGAACAAACTCCCTCCACCTGGTAAATGGGACAACCCTTCTTGATTCAGCCTGTTCCCCACTTTTCTTTCAACTAGATGAATCCCGCGGGGGATTGAATTTTTACTACTATTGACTGAACAATTCCGATAAAATATATTATAGTTTCTACTGTCAACATGCTTATAACAGGAAGGAATACTTGTTCAAAATCCCACAGTTACATATGTAGTTTCGGATCTTTAGTAGATATACGCCCCCTCCCCCTTTTTGTTAAAATTTGAACAATACATGTATTTTCATTGGTTGACTTTTATTTTGATACCTGTTATGCTATGTGATGGGTATTGTACTTCGGGTGCTTATATATATATATATATATATATATATAGAGAGAGAGAGAGAGAGAGAGAGAGAGAGAGAGAGAGAGAGCACATCTTACAACAACTCTTAAACTAACATAACTGCCCTAAGTGAAGAAATATTAATATAGAAAGCACAAAGAAATTCTCTTTTATGAGGATACCCACTTCCGCCCCAGCCCGGGGTTGAACTCTCGACCTACGGAATCTGTCTCCTAGCAGTACAGGAACAGTTCGCTAGACCGCTCGGCTATCTAGGCAAGTTTTAAATTCTTGCTTTCGATGCCGATGGAATTCTCGCGGCGCTGCCCTACACTACACGGTCATTGAGAATGGAAGCGAGATACAGTTATTTGGACATAAGTTTTATCAGAGGATCGATACCAATACACGTTGTAATGAAATTGATTTTTATTTATAAAGCACATTTTACAACAACTCTTAAACTAACATAACTGCCCTAAGTGAAGAAATATTAATACAGAAAGCACAAAGACATTCACTTTTATAAGGATACCCACTCCCTACACTACACGGTCATTGAGAATGGAAGTGAGATACAGTTATTTGGACACTAGTTTTATTAAGGGTTTGATTTTGTGTTCATCCAAGTGAAACTCGTATGAAATAAAAATCTCAATATCTTAATAAATACTTCTTGCTTACTCTTGAAGACTGACCTATGATACCTTCCATGGGAAAGCTGTCTTGACATGTATGCAGTTTGGTTGTCACTTGCAGTGTCATGCAGCTATAATGTGTATATTACACTTGCGGGACTGCACAGCTACAGGTCTAACAAAACAATAACATGGCTTTTATTGTATATGTGCAGATAGTTGAACGTCATGGGTACAACCATTTTTTTTCGTTCCTAGCAATTCTGTGCGTACTTTTTCCATAACTGTCTGTTTTTCATCAACTAGGCATGTCCGCCATGCGAAGTCTGTGGGCTGCCATTCCGGTATTTAAACCAACTGACTATTTCTGTAATCTGATGTCTCAAGTACTAAATTACACAAAGCAATTAGAGAGATATCTCGTAAAACATCTCAAGCTATTAGAATGTTTCGATCTAAATGTTTAATTTTGTTTATTATAAAAGTAACATCGATGTTTACGTCATATCAGGGAATGCTCCGTCTTTGATTTTACAATGGACCAGATAAATTAATACGCGCCCAGTTTTAGCAATTCCGACGGAAGTTAACGTCTGTTATTTTCTTTTGCAGGTAAGGCTATTAATTACCTTTTATCAAATAAGCATATTAATCCTACAGATGTAGGACAATGTCATATAATATTGAAAAATATATATTGCACGAAAATTAAGAACTATATTCACTCTGCGTAGTTTATATCTGAGGTCTGTCATGCGATATTCGGCTAAAGTGAAAGAAGGAGCTGGTAAGTCGATATTTTGTGTTTATTGTGAATTATGAGTCTTATCTCAGATATACGATATAACTCCTAGTATCAGTAATACATTTTGAGTATGACAACGCCTGCGATCTGATGCACATCAATTTTAAAATGGTTAAACGTTATACAAAGGATCTGAGAATTTCCACGTGTTTCTTGCAGACCGCAATTTGGTAGCGAGCAATATTTAAGGTTCCTCTAATAAATGTTACTATGTTTCAATACACTAAAAGT